CCCTGACCTCTGACCTCATCTTGACCCCAGCCACCTTCACATTCTTGCTCTTCTCTGCACCAGCCAAGACCCGTCCCCGGCTCCAGGGCACCAGCCACTCCCTCTGCCTGGATGACCTCCCCGATCCCCACCTTCATTCCAGTCGCAGCTCAAACGCTCTCTCCCAAGGCGGGGCCGGCTGACCCCGGTCCCAGGTCTCTCTGCCCACAGGCTTCTCAGGGCCCCGTCTTGCGTCACGGCCGCCTGGCCAGAGCTGTGCCCGCGTCCACTCCCCGCAGCCCGGCCCTGTGCTGGCTGGCGGGTGTTGGCGGCCAGAGCCGGGCCGCTGGGCTGCAGGGCTGCCGTCACCCTCCGGGCAGGAGCTGGGCGATGTCCTGGCCTGCTGATGGTGACGCCGGCCGCCCAGCTCAGCCAAGGCCCCTCAGTGCTGAGCAGCAGAAGGACACCGGTGGCCAAGCTCCCCCCAGCCCCCCAGACCCCCCGGGGGAGGTCTCTACCGTCAGCACGCGCCCACCCTCGCGGCCTGCCTGTCTGCTCCACTCAGAGCAGCAGAGCGGGCAGCTCAGGGCTGGGGCACGGCCTCGCTGCTGGGAAGCCCTCTGGGGTCCCCTAGTCTAAGCTGACGGAGGCTCCAGACCCCCCGTGGCTCCTGAGCATCCTGTGCCATAGACCCCAGCACCCCCACCCGCCCGTGACCCCGGCCTGGCCGAGGGCAGCGCGGAGGGGGAAGCCCCGGTTCGCCCTGAGGCCTCGGCGGTGCTCCCGGAGCCCTGGTGCCGCTGGGACACAGCCAACAGGACGGGCTCAGGGAGGCACCGGGGCTGTGTGCACGGGCCCAGGCCCGTGGCCGGCAAACCGCGGCTGGAGAGCCACATGTGGCTCTTTGGCCCCTTGAGTGTGGCTCTTCCACAAAACACCATGGCCCGGCCGAGTTTATGTTGAAGAAGGGGCGTTAGAGGAAGTTGAAGTTTAAAAAATGTGGCTCTCCAAAGTAAATCCAATCGTTGTGCTGTTGATACGTGGCTCTGTTGGCGAATGAGTTTGCCGACCACTGGCCCAGACCACTGGCCCAGGCCTAGCCCAGACCAGCCGGGGCAGGCAGGCTTCCTCGGGGTGGGGCCCGGGGCTGGGCTCAGGGACCGTCAGGCCTGGAGCACTCGCCCCTCCTCCCTCGCTGGGAGCTGCAGGCGGCAGGACACAGAGGACACACCTGCGGCCCCGGGCAGCAGCAGCGTGTGCAGGGCCAGCCTCACGCGCTCGGGGACGGCGCTGCAGAAACGCCTTCTGCACACCGGGTGGAGCTGGCAGCGCCCAGAGCCAGGCTCCGGGGGAAGGCGGTTAAACACCTTCCGCAGGCTCCGCGGGCTCCGGGCACAGGACCGCGCCATGTGACGGCTAAAGTTAGCTCCCGCCGGAGGGAGCTGGCCGGGCCGCGGGTCCCACCGCGTGCAGCCTGGCCTGTGGCGCTGGCTCTGGTCCCGCGGCCGGCGGGCAGTCAGCGGAGCGAGGACAGAAGCTGCACGCGGCAGAGGGTTCAGTGGGAGAGGGTCCAGCGGGGGTGGGTGCACTTTCCTGCGTGTGAGGCCCGGAGGCCCCCGCTTGGCCACGGGAGGACGGCAGGCTGGGCTGGGCCTCAGAGGGGAGGACGGAGCATGGGGTGAGCCTCAGGGAGAGGCAGCTTCTGTGCAGGGTCCCCTTGGCCGCTCATCCTCCGTGCTGGCCTGTCCAGGTGTTCTCACCCCCTTCCCACTGCCACCCGGAGGGAACGCACCGCAGCCCAAGGTCCGCACGGAGACTCGGCCACTTGCCCGAGGTGGGGCAGTTATTGCCGTCCCAGTCAGCGGTGGTTTTTATTATTTTTATTATTAAAAATTTTTAAATTGATTTTAGAGAGGAAGGGAGAAGGAGAGATAGAAACACCTGTGATGAGAAAGAATTGGTCGGCTGCCTCCTGCACGCCCCACACTGGGGGGCGAGCCCACCACCAGGACCTGTGCCCTGACCGGGAATCGAACCGTGACCTCCTGGTTCATAGTCGATGCTCAACTACCGAGCCACGCTGGTCAGGTGAAGATTTTTATCCTTAGTTTTTGTTTTTATCTATTAAGTGGCTATTATTAATTTTAAGGAAGCAGGTAGCGGGGTCTCTCTGAATGCCCAGTGATCCCGGGCTTGGGTGTGAGCTCGGAAGGACCCTCATCCACCCTGGGCTCAGGCCTCGCTAATGAGACCCTCCTGCTGGCCGGTGGCCCTCGGCAGCCCCTGGGAGCCGTCAGCTGCAGATGCTCCGCCGGCCACCCGCTGATCCTGGCAGAGCTGGCTCCGGGACGTGACGAGCTATTTATGGAGCAGGCACGGTCAGACCCACTCAGCAACCCGAGACCCGCTAATCACTTCTCCCCTAACGAGGCCGGGCCACGCGCGTGCGGGCACGGGGGTGCCGGCCTGGCCGCGGAGGAGGGCACGGCCTGGCTAACGGTGGGAGGGGGCTGAGGGTGCCCGGGAGGCGCTCGGGGCCCTCGGCGTGGAGGGGGGTCCATGCTCAGAGGGGCTCTGGCTGCAGGCGGAGGGAGCCACGGGAGGCGGGGCCCAGCCAGGAGCCGAGGCCGCAGGACTGCTGCGTGGGCTCGTGTGAGGCCTGAGGGAAGAGGAGCCCAGCTCTCCTGCCTCCCGGGCTGGGCAGGTGGCTCCCAGGAGTGGGCCCAGGAGCTGGTGCCGAGGCCACAAAGCCATGTGACCACAGGGTCTGCACCACGTCTGCAAAGCCTGGGCCGTGCCCAAGGAGCCAGGTGTCCTGGGACCAGTGGCAGGGGGCATCCTGGGCTCTGATTGGCCACGCTGAGCTCAGAATCCCCTTCCAGGCGGGGCTGGAGTTGGGGTTTCCAGAACTACTGCGGCAAAGGGAAGGTGCGAGGTGTCTCCCCCCATTGCCCCTCCCTGTCCCTGCCCCCTCCCCTCCAGACCAGCCTGACCTTTCTGGACTGTCAGCCACCGCAGGCCAGCTGAGACTGCTTGGGGAAGGGCTCTTGGGGCGCAAGGGAGGGGTGAGGAGCCCACGTTCTACCTGTAGGTCAAGGCCATGGGAGGAGGAGTGTGGGGTGTGGAGAGGGGGTGGGGCAGATGGCAGGCCAGGGCACCCTCCTCTCCGCGCCCCCCCCGACCCCCAGATTCTGCCCTGAGGAACGGCTCCGGCCTTGTGTCTCTGGAGGGGGGGGGGAAGGGAGATCAGCTTTGGGGCGGTCTGTGGGCACGAGGCACGTGAACTTGGGCTCAGACGGCAGGGCCTTGAAGGAGCGCTGGGCGGATGGCCTGTCCCTGGGCGCGGGGTCCGCGGGCCCAAGTGCTCCCATCGGTAAAAGGGCGGCTGGGACTAGCTTATCTCCCGGGGCCCTTCCAGGACGGCACGAGGCGACTCTTTTCCCGAAAGGCAGTCTGCGAACCCAGTGAAAGGCTTTCCCGCACCTGCTCCCGCACCTGCCCGCCGGCCCTGGACGGCCCCCCCACCCCCCAGGCCGCTCCCGGGCGGACCGTGGTCGGAGTCCAGTGCCCCCTGGCGGCGCCCCGGCGCCCGCGCTCCGGGACGGCGGGGGGCCCGACAGCGGTGGGCGGCGGCTGGGGTCCCGTGGGGGGTTCCGTGGGCCCGGCTGGGGTCCCGTGGGCCCGGCTGGGGTTCCGTGGGCCCGGCTGGGGTTCCGTGGGCGGCGGCTGGGGTCCCGTGGGCCCGGCTGGGGTTCCGCGGGCCGGGCCGCCGCGCAGCGCGGCGGCGCCAGCTGCCGCGAGTCCTGGTCGCCGCCCGCGGTGACTCACCGGCGGCCGCCCCACCGCCGAGCGCAGGGCCCGGCTTCCAAAATGAGTCCTAGGGGGCGCCTCGGGCGGGACTGGCGCCCCTTCCTCCCCACCCCAGGCAGCCCGGCCCCGGACCCCGCGGCCGCACAGCGCGGCTCCGCCCCGGCGGCGGGGCGCACGCACCGCGAGCCCCTGGGCCGCGCGGGGAGCGGGAGCCCCGGGAGCCGAGGGTCCCCGCGGTGCGCGAGGCGGATGTGACCCCCGGCGGCCTCCGCACCCAGCCCGCCTCTGCCCCGCTGAGCCCGCCGCCGGGGCGCCTCTCCCCAGGTCTCCGCCCTCCTGGGCCGGCCGGCCTGGCCCAGAGGCGGGGGCCGCGGTGGGGTGTCTCCGCGGCTCCAACCGGCCCGGTTCGAGCTCCAAGAGGTCAGGGGCCGTGGTGAGAGGACGCCGCCGACGCCGGAGGGAGCGGAGGGAGGAGGGCAGAGGAGGCCGACATGGAGGGGAGGGAGCCCGGCGGGCGGCCCCGGACACCGGAGTCGGTGCGCCCGCGGAGGGGGCGCTCGGCCCGGGCGGCGGGAGAGGGCCTGGGGCTCGGGGAGCCGGGGAGCGTTTCTGGGAAAAGCCACGGGGAGGGAAGAGGGAGCGGCCCGGACCCCCAGGATGGCAACCCCTGCCAACCTCGGCGCTCCCGGTAACGGCTCAGGTCGGCAGGTCCCGGGCCGCGTCTGGGGCGCTGGGGGGCCGAGGCGACCCGGGGACCCGCACGCCGGGAGGCGGCGCAGGTGGCCAGCCCCGGGGACCGCGCTGCCGCTCCCGGTGCCCGCTCCGGCCGGGGCCTCCTCTCCCTCCGGCCGCCGGGGTGTGGTCTGGGGCTGAGCCCCCTCCTGCCCGCCCCGGTCCCCAAACTCTCCGCAGGGAGCCCAGGGCTGGCAGCCGCCCTGCCTGCCCAGCCTCCGCGCCGAGACCTGCTGCTGGCTCCGCCCTCGCCTCCCTCCTCCCTCCTCCCCTCCTCCCGGACACCTAGGCCCCCGCCCGCCCGCCCGCCCCGCCTGCGCCCCGCGCGGCTCGGTCTGCAGCGGGAGCGCCGCCTGGCCAGCTGGCCGGGGACCAGGGGGGTGGCGGCCCGGAGGCCGCGGGGGGCGGGCGGGAGGAGGGGAGGAGGCCGGGCCTCCGCGTAGCCCGGCCCCCGCCCCCCGCGGCCTCCCGCCGGAGCGGGGTTGCCACGCGCGCGCGCGCACACACACACACACACAGACACACACACACACACACACACACACACACACACACGCACACACTCGGCTCCCTGCGGCGCTCACGCACGCAGCGCCCCGGGCAGATCCGCGCCGCCGCCGCCTCCCAGACCCCGGACGCCGGAGGGCCCGGACCCCGGCGCGGCTGATGCGCCCGCGCCCGCCCCGCAGCCCCGCGAGGCCCGCGGGGCCCCTCCCGCCGCCGCCGCCGCCGCGCCCGCCGCCCTCGGAGACGCGGGCCGGTCGCCCGCCGCCGCCGCGCCGCCTCCCGGCCGCCCCCGAGGCCGCCGCGCCGCGCGCCGAGCCGCCCGGAGGCCGCGCCCCGCTCCCGCGCCCCGGGGGCTGAGGCCGCGAACTTGGACCGGCCGCCGCCCGCAGCGCCCCGCCGCCCCTGCGCGCCCGGGGCCCCGGCGCTCGGACCCGCGGGCCCGGGGCCGCCCCGCCCGCCGCTGCACCTGCCCGGCCCCTCCCCGCCCGCGGGGCCTCCGGAGACGCCGGCGCTTCGCAAACTTTCCCGCACCCCCCGGGGGGGCCGAGCAGCCGAACCCGGGGAAGCAGGTCCCGCCGGGCGCGCGCCAACCCGCGGGCTCCTAGCGGGGCGCCGCCGCCCGGCAGCCGGACCCCGAGGGGCGCGGGCCCCGGAGGCCGCCCGCCGGCCAGCGCCCCGCCCCCGCCCCTGCTCCCCCTGCGGGCGCGGGGCGCGGGGGGCGGCGGCCGCGCCGTGCCCGGGGGCGCCGCGGTGCATGGCCCTGCGCGGCGGGGCGGGCTGCCTGGGCCGGCTCTGGCGCGGGGTGTCGGGGCTCCCGGGCGCCTGGCCGCGGCGCTCCAGCAGCCTCCTGTGCCTGGCCGCCTTCGCGCCCGCGCCCGCGCCCCTGCCCCGCCGGCCGCCCCGCGGCGGTGGCCCCGGCGGCCCCGGCGGAGGGGGGCGCCCCCGGCCTCCCCGCCCCCCGCCTCCCCGCCGCCGCCGCCGCCGCTGCTGCGGCCGCCGCCGCCGCTTACAACTTGGACTCGGAGGCGGCGGCGGCGGAGGCGGCGGCCGGGCGCTGCAGAGGGACGCGCGCGGCGGCGGCGAGGCTGCGGGACATGCCCCCCGCGCCGGCGCCCTGCTGGCGGCCATGAAGAGGCAGAACGTGCGGACCCTGGCCCTCATCGCCTGCACCTTCACCTACCTGCTGGTGGGCGCCGCCGTCTTCGACGCGCTGGAGTCGGACCACGAGATGCGCGAGGAGGAGAAACTCCGGGCGGAGGAGGCGCGCCTGCGGGGCAAGTACAACATGAGCGGCGAGGACTACCGGCAGCTGGAGCAGGTCATCCTGCAGGCCGAGCCGCACCGCGCCGGCGTGCAGTGGCGCTTCGCCGGCTCCTTCTACTTTGCCATCACGGTCATCACCACCATCGGTAAGGCCGGCGCCCGGCTCCCCACACCCAGCCCGCGCCGCCCGGAGGGGCCGGGAGCAGCAGCCGGGGAGGAGCCGGGAGGAGCCGGGAGGCGGCGGCGCGCGGCGGCGCGGGGCTGGGTGTGCGGAGCCCGGGCCGGCTCCTCCCGCCTCCCTCCGAGCCCCTTCCTCTCGGCGCCCGGTTCCCGGAGGACCCGGCTGGGCTCTCCCCGCGCAGCGAGCGTGTGAGCCCGGAGTGTGCGGGCTCCGGGGGGCGGAGGCGCCGCGCCGGGAGGCGAGTGGAGGCTAAGAATAACCCGCAGACACCCACCGCCCCGGCCTCACACTTACTACCGCTCCGAGTTGGGAGGGCGGCCTGGCTGCCATCCGCCTGTGGAGAGACTCAGGTGGCCGGCCGGCCGGCCCTCCGGGCGTGGGAGGCGCTGACCCCCGCCAGCCAGCCTCCTCCCTGCGGGCACCCCTTTTCTGAGCCCTGCAGCGGGTGTGCCAGGCCTGGGGGGAGAGAGTTTGTGTCCGGTGGTTGGCGAGGGGCCGGCAGCCGGTGAACGGTGCTGGGAACAAGGAGGCGCCCGGGGAGACGGTCCTGGCCAGCCCAGCCCAGGGCCGCGGGCAGGACCAGCCTGCGTGTTGCCTGCAAACCAGAGAAGTTGGCCCCAGCCTGGGGGAGCCCTCTGGTAGGCCCCGGAGGCTCCCCTGGCCCCCACCAGGCGCTGTGCTCCCCGCATTCTCTGTCGGGTGCCGGCAGCACGCAGATGCCCGGGCTTGGTGAACTTGCAGACGCTCCACTTTGAGGGGGACCTTTGGGAGGGAGCTCAGGCAGATCCCTTCCTCCCAGGTTGGTGGGTGCCCGCCCGGCAGAAGGAGGTGGCGTCTGACCGGCATGCCCCAGCCTGCACCCTGCCCTCCGCACACACCCTCTCCTCGCCCTGCCAGGGCCCCGTGCTGGCCTGGGGTCTCTTTCCCGGCCCCCTCCAGCCCTGTCCGTCCCGCACCGGGAGGAGGCCCACCCCCCTCTGCTGTCCCCTCGGCGTTTGCCGTCCGGGGAGCGCTGTGTGCTGGCGGGGCTGCTCGCCGTGCCATATGCAACAGGAAGTCCCGGCTCGGCCTGCCTTCCCGGCTCGGCTGCAAACACTTTTCAGTCATCTTGTCAGAAATGTTTAATTCATGGCCGCAGCATCTCATGGTGTTGGAAGGAAGCTGTCCTTCTGTCATCTCCATATCCAGCTCTGCTCCGCGTCCGCCCGCCACCCCTCTGGCTGGAGCCAGAGCCCAGGAGAGCCTTCCCCGCCCGCGGTGTGCTCTCCTGCCGGCCGGGCCAGCCGGGCGCTGCCATGACGGTCCTTTCTGTCTGTAAACTTCCACTGTGAGCTGCGGCCGGAGCACACAGGCGCAGGCAAGGCCCTGGGGGTCAGGGCCTGTGAGCTGGAGGCAGAGGGCAGGACGGGCGCCCCTAAACTGACCTCCGGGCGGGAGGCCCCCTCTCCCGGTCTTTAGTGCTCCCCACCCAGGACAGGGCCGTCTGGCCGCTCTCTGGACACGCCACTCGGGAGAGGGTTGGAGTTGAAATCGAACCTGGAGATGTTGGTTTGCCTGAGAAAAGGAAACTGTGAGATCCGTGTTGCTCGGGGCGTGTTTATTGATTCTGACGGGTCGTTCTGGGCCTGTGCTTCCCACGGTGACGGCTGGGAAGAGAAACCATCGGGAGAGGGTGGCCCAGCGCCGTGTTATCGCAGCCGGGGCTGTGGGTGTGCCCCAGGGCGCCTGGCACAGCGCGGATCCCTCTCTGGCGGTTACTGAGGGCCAGCTGCTTTCCTGGGGAGGAAGGTCGGGGTAAGCCTCGGGGCCTGGAGGGAAAGACCATCCTCGCTCAGCTCCCCTGGGCCGGGGAGACGCTGAGCGTGGAGCCCGAGTCCAGCCGCTCAGGGCGCTTCCCAGCTCCCAGCCTCAGTTTCCCCACCCGTAGGAGGGAGGGGCATTGCACAGTGGCCACCTGCCAGGCTGATTCTGAAGGGCAGGGGGAGCCCTGGTGCCTGCAGCCACCAGCGAGGGGAGCGCTTAGTAGGTGGGCACCGGCTCCTGCCTGGGCCTGCTGTCCTGCGCTCTGCCCCAGGAAGCTGGTGGGTGGAGCCCTGGAACTTACAGGAAACAGAGCACCTTTCTAGTTAATTCTGTTTGTTTTCTTCTTCTTCTTCTTTTTTTAATATAAATGCAAATGAAGGTGTTCCAGGCCCAGAACAAAACCCAGCCCCACGCCGGCTCCCAGGCCTGTCTCCTGTCCAACAGGGGCCTGTGATCAGGTCCCTCCAGCCGGGGCGTGGGGCGTGAGCTCCCACTCACTGCTCTCACTGAGGTGGGCAGGGCCCGGGCGCGCCTCCGCTAAGGAGCCGCCTCTCACAGGCCGCTAATGGCTTGCTCTGGGAAATGGATCTTAAACACGTTGATAATGACCACTTCGCCTCGGGTCTGCGGCCGCGCCTTCGAGAAAGGCTTTGGAGGGACAGACGCTGAGTCTGAGGGAGCTCCAGGCACAGCCTAAGGAGGGCGCTCAGGGTTCCAGGGCCCGAAGGCGGCTTCGGCTCTGCCACAAGCCCAGCCCCGCTACTGCCTGCCTCGGCTGCTTCGATGTCGGTGCCACTGGTGTCCACGTCCCCGAGGTCCTGCTGTGATTCTGTTCGTGGGGAGCCTAGACCTGGGGGACGCTCCACCGAGACACCGATGGAAAGCCTGCCGTGCTTGTCTGATCGGCAGGACGGTTGGGAAGCTCTCCCCACCCCCAGGCTGTTGGTGGAGGTGGAGGTGATGGTGATGGAGGTGATGGAGGTAGAGGTGGTGATGATGCTGGTGATAGTGATGGAAGTGGTGGTGATGGTGATGGTAATGGGGGCAGAGGCGGTGATGGTGGTGGTGATGGAGTCGTAGGTGGTGATGGTGATGGTGGAGGTAAAGGTGATGGTGATGGTGGAGGTAGGCGAGGATGGTGATGGTGGTGGAGGAGAAGGTGGAGGTAGAGGTGAGGGAGGTGGTGGTGATGGAGGCAGAGGTGGTGATGGTGATGGAGGCAGAGTTGGTGATGGTGATGGTGATAGTGGTGGAGGAGAAGGTAGAGGTAGAGGTGAGGGAGGTGGTGGTGATGGAGGCAGAGGGTGATGGTTATGGTGGAGATAGAGGTGAGGGAGGTGGTGGTGATGGCAGAGGTGGTGATGGTGATGGTGGAGGTAGAGGTGAGGGAGGTGGTGGTGATGGCAGAGGTGGTGATGGTGATGGTGGTGATGGAGGCAGAGTTGGTGATGGTGATGGTGATGGTGGAGATAGAGGTGAGGGAGGTGGTGGTGATGGCAGAGGTGGTGATGGTGATGGTGGAGGTAGAGGTGAGGGAGGTGGTGGACTTGGACTGCTGGCTGCCGGGCTTGAATCCCTCTGTGGCTGTGGTCTGGGTGCACTGGGGACCCTGGCTCACTTGTCACTTCCCTGCAGGAGGCGCTTGAGGCCAGAATGGGGTTCCACCACCAGCGGCCGCTCCTGACAGCAGGGCGGGGCCTCCACCACACCCCCTTTTCCAGTCTAGCAGGGGCCGAAGTGGTGACCCCCTCAGGCTCACGGGAGAAGAAACCTGCTTAAAACTCAGGTTTCGCCTGGCGGGGCCAGGAGGGCGAGTTACAACCTGCCCTGGGAGGGCAGGGGCGTGAGAGGGGAGACTGACATCCGGGTGTGAGTCCCAGGTCCGCTGGGCCCAGCTGGCCGGGGGGGGGGGGGGGGGGGGGGGGGGGGGGGGCGGTGCTGCTGCAGGAGCCGCGGGGATCGCCGGGGCAGGCCTGGCTGGGGTGGGCACCTCTGAGACGAGGCCGAGGGCCCGTTGTCTCCAGACGCAGTGCTGCACCTGCCGAACCCGGGCTTCCCAGATGCCTCCCTTATCTGGTCCGCACGCAGCCCGGACAGCGCTGGGTGAGGCTCTCCCCGCGTCCCGGGCCTCGGCGCGGCTCTCCCAGCGCGTGTGCGCCTCCCTGGCCGCGGCCTGGCCTGCGCTTTGCTCTGGGGACCGTCTAGATGACAAGATAAGGCCTGGCCTTTGGGAGGGAAGTGGAAACCCAAGCGCTGGCTGGTGTTGTCCAGCGTGCGGAGCAGATCAGCTGAGCCGTGAGCCCCTCCCTGCGGCCTGCAGGGTGGGCCTGCCTCCAGCCTCCCTGGCTTCCCCTGGGCCCTGGCCCCCATTCCCAGCGTTGTGGAGAGCAGACTGGGTCCCATCTCCCGGCATCTGCCGGGTGGCACACCCCACACCCTGGCACTCGCTTTGCCTGGGCCTGGAGGGGTGCTGCCCCACTTTACAGCTGGTGAGACTGAGGTGCCAAACAGGCAGCGGGCCTTGAACGCCATTTTAATCTCACAGCTCACACCCACCTTCCCCATCGCAGGCACCCACCACCGCTCACCCCTCTCTCTGCCGGGCACCCTGGGCCCTGCGCTCCCAGGCTCATTCATCCCCCATTCAGCAGCTTCAGCTCCTCCCCACACTCCTGCCGGGAGGGGCGCAGGTGCAGGCACAGGTGCTGGGAGGGGCGCAGGTGCAGACACGGGGGCCTGGAGGGGTGCAGGTGCTGGGAGGGGTGCAGGTGCAGACACGGGGGCCTGGAGGGGTGCAGGTGCTGGGAGGGGTGCAGGTGCAGACACGGGGGCCTGGAGGGGCGCAGGTGCTGGGAGGGGCGCAGGTGCAGACACAGGGGCCTGGAGGGGTGGGTGCAGACACGGGGGCCTGGAGGGGTGGGTGCAGACACGGGGGCCTGGAGGGGTGGGTGCAGACACGGGGGCCTGGAGGGGTGGGTGCAGACACGGGGGCCTGGAGGGGTGGGTGCAGACACGGGGGCCTGGAGGGGCGCAGGTGCAGACACGGGGGCCTGGAGGGGTGCAGGTGCTGGGAGGGGTGCAGGTGGCACCCTGGGACCTGTCCTCCGAGGCTCCCCGGGCCAGGGCACAGGCGGAGGGCTCCGGCACAGGAATTCTGGAGGG